TCACTCAACACACAAGCAATCGTGAGATGGTGGGGTCTGAAGCCAATCATAGATGATGCTCAGGCCCCGTACACCCATACACAGATGAAAGGTGGGAGGAGAGACGATGGAGGTAGGAGGTATAGGCAGCGCCAGATGTCACCGAGATAGAATCCAGTAGGTCACCGATATGGTAGTCCAAAATGTCATCGAACAAGATCAGTATGTCGTGGACAATAAGTCACCAATGTCGGAGGTACAGACTCTACAGAGTCCTAATGTAACCGGTGTCCAATCTGTGAGTATCAATCCCAACATCTTCAAGGTCTCGAATCCGGTAAGTATCACAGCCTCTTACCGCCGAAGTCCACACACTGATCTCTGTCCAACTTGTGTCCAGTCTGACGAAGAAGAAGAAGAAGAAGAAGAAGAAGAAGAGGGAAGGAGAAGAGATGATAGAGCATGGACGGGGATGGCGAGTAGCGTCAGGCCCTACCTGATGGGACAAGGTGGCGCCTTGGCTGCTGCAGAAGACAGCTGAGCCGCTGGAGCTATGGCGCTCGTAGCTGCTGGTCATAAGTCCTCCCTCCTCGCTCTCCCGTACTGCAGTGCGCTAAACTTAGCGCTGCAGTTCCAGCGCTGCGCTGAACTCAGAATAGCGCAGCGCAGTCGCTCCTCAATGCCGCTACTCCCTACCTGCAGGAATGGCCACTGGACCGGCCTAAGTACCGTCTGGCGGCCGGTCGGCCTCAATGCTGGCTCCTGCGCCGTGGTCGTTTGGGCCAGACTGGGTCTGCTAGGCGCTGAGGCACCAACCGGTGGCCTAACAGGGCTTACCGGGGAAAAAGGCCTGGCTTTTGGCGAGGCCGGCCTGGGTACCCCCCTGAACCGGTATGTCGGGCCTGTGAGGGCCCGTGTGAAGTCGCAGAATGTAACACACTCCCCCCCTTAAAGGACCAAGCTACCTGCGAGGGCGAAGTTGTCTGTCCGATACCTGGGTGGGTSGGGTGGGACGAACTTTGTCCTTGGCAAGTTTCCGGTTTTCGTAATCGGAGAAGATGAGTGGTGGAGATGCTTGTAAGTCTGCACGGGAGATCCAACGAGTGTCATCCGCGGCACATTGCTTGAATGTGACTTCGTATTGCATTGGCTTGTTGCCAAACTTGCGGTGCCTGATGACACGGTCGACTTCCTGATGTCCGTCCATAGAGGGCGGGTCTTGTGATCGTCGGCCCGAAAACTCATCCTCAGAAGGTGGCGTGTAGACGGCCAGCTTCGACGCATGGAAGACCGGGTGCACACGAAGGTGCGGTGGGATGGCAATCACAAGGAAGGACCTGCAGGGTCGTCGCCTGCTGCAGAAAGTACCTTCCATGGTCTAAACCATTTCGGGAGGAGTTTGCGCGAGACGTCCTGCTCCAGCGCGAATTCCTCAGCGAGGACCCAAACAAGGTCTCCCTCGCGGAAAGGGCATGAGAGTCGACGTCGGTTAGCTTGCTGCTGCATGCGGATTTGAGCCTTTTGCATATTCGCGCGGGCTTTGATCAGCAAGTCCCGGTACTTCCGAACGGAAGCGGGAGAGCAAGCGACGTCTATATCGGCAGCCTATGGTAGAAGAAGATCGGCAAAGCCCCGGGCCTTCTCTCCACCATGATGTAACTCAAATGGAGTGAGGCAGACCATCGGGTGCACCGAAGTGTTATAGGCGAACTCAATGTCGGGAAGACGGTCAACCCAATCTTTCTGGTCGGGACGGATGAGTGTACATAACATCATTTGAGCGGTCTGATGCGCTTGTTCCGACTGTCCATCCGACTGCGAGTGCCATGCGGAACTCGGCTTCATAGTCGAACCGGACTTCGCCATGAGGGAGGTCCACAAGGCGGACATGAAGCGAGTGTCTCTGTCGCTCACAATATCTTCTGGAACACCGTGGCATGTAATCCAGCCGGTGTGCAAGAGTCGCGCGAGCTCGGGAGCTGTAGCACGATACTTGCATGGGAGAAAACAAGTGTACTTGCTCAAACAGTCAACGACCGCGAGGATACCTTCATGACCGAGGCGATCGCGGGGGAACGGGCCTGTAACATCCATAGCAATGGAGAGGCGAGGTGCCCGAGGAATCGGCATCGGTTTCAGTTCGCCATAAGGGACCTGAGATCTACCTTTGTAACGATGGCAAACTGCGCATGACTCAATATACCTTGTGACGTCGTGGAGAGCGTCTGGCCAGTGAAAACGCTGGCGGAGGCGGGCCAATGTGCGGGTCACGACAAGGTGTGCCGAAAGTCGTGCGTCGTGGAATTCGCCGAGAAGACGAGTCCGTAAGATGCGATCTTGGGGCACCACTAACAAGTCCTTTCCTCTCGTGTGGAGTAGGAACCCATCGGAGATACGATAATGACCAGCCGGTGGGTGATCCGATAAGAGCTCCCCATAAAGCGTAGAGTAAGTCGGATCGGACTTGTAGCCTTTGACGAAATGTTGTTGCAGATCGTCGTCGAGTTGGAACGTTGTAGTCACGAGGGCACAAAGATCGGGCCGTTGTGAAGGGTGTCCGTTGCTCGATTGGCGGGACCGGAAATGTGGCACGACTCAAGTCGAACTGGTCGATGTAATACATCCATCGACCGATCCATCGACCGATCGTGCTAGTGACCGTGTCCTGTGTTTTGTAGGTGGTCAACGGATTGTTGTCCGTGTTCCATCTAAAACGCCGACAACCGAGAAGTGGCGCCACCGTTTGAGAACGGTGACGAACGCGAGTAGCTCTTTCTTCCTAGCTTCGTCGAGAGTGTTGATGGGAGGCACCTTTTGGGAGAAGTACTCGACCGGGTGCCAAACATCTGTGTGGCATTGTTCCAATACCGCACCAATACCGTACCCAGAAGCATCCGTAGTCACTTGGGTGGGTAGGGTGGGGCCATAGATACGGAGGGCCGGTGCGTCTTACATCGCCGCCTTCAACGTATTGAACGTGCCACGAGCTGCGTCGTTGAACTCGAATGGTACCTTCGGGGGCTGAAGTCTCAACAAAGGAGCTGCCACTTTGGAATAAGACTCGATGAACCGCTGATAGCATCTAGCCAAACCCGTGAAAGAGCGTATGTCCATCGTGCAACGGGGTTCCGGCCAATCCACGATGCCTTGGATCTTGTCCGCTAAGGGACGAATGCCTTTCGGCGTCACATAATGGCCTAAGTACTCAAGCTATTGTTTGGCGAATTCGCACTTGTCGCGGTTTGCTTTGTACTTGGCTGCTCGCAAACGATCCAACACAACACGAAGGTGTACGAGGTGCTCGTCAAACGTCCTACTGTAGACCAAGATATCATCGAGGTAGATGAGGACGGTACGATCGAGCAAATCTCGGAACTCCGTTGTCATGGCTGTTTGGAAGGTTGCCGGGGCATTGGTGAGTCCAAATGGCATCACGACCCACTCAAAATGCCCATACCGTGTTTTGAAGGCGGTCTTGTACCGATCTTGAGGCTGGATTTCAATCTGGTGGTAACCCAACTTCAAGTCCAACTTCGAAAGTACGTCGCACCGCCCAATCGCTCCACGAGATCATCAATCCGGGGGAGACGGTCGGCGTTCTTTACGGTTTATGCGTTAAGTTTTCTATAATCGATGCACAACCGTAAGTCCTTGTTTTTCTTCCGGACGAAGAGAACCGGTGCACCATATGGCGAACAACTAGGGAGAATCCAGCCTTTGTCGAGAAGGTCATCGAGTTGTGCGCGAAGCACCTTTAAGTTCCTCTTCGCTCATGTGGTAAATGCATCAACGCAGAGGGACGACACCCGCCTCGAGAGTAATCCCGTGACATATGGGCCGATCCGAAGCCGTTCCGGTGGGAGCCTCGAAGACGTCTCCATATCCATCTAAGAGGTGAGTAGTACGTGGGTCCGGCGGGGACGCGGCTGGTCCTTCCGACGAGGGGAGAGATGTGGAGGCCCATCTCCTCGACGTCGTTCCACGCTATGGCGTCGCGAATCCTCGTTACGAAAACCACATGACAAGCAATCGAAGTGTGAGAAGTCGCGACCGTACACGGGACTAACACTCCATTCCGATCACGGATGTGAACGGTTCGGTATGAAAGTTCACCGGATGACCGGCGCTACGCAACCAAGACATGCCTAGAATCATGTCAAACTTGGTGTCGAGGATGTCGAAAGACACCGGCTCGCACGCAAGGGGCGCAAAGTATACTGGGACACCATCAATG